AATTGTCGAATCGCCAACTGTCAGCTAGCTTACTTGCTGGGCCGTCAACTGTTAACTGTCAAACGGCTCAACCGCCATCTAGCAACTTGGTGAACCACCAACTGTCGACTGTCTTAACCACTACCTCATAACTGGCTCAACCACCATCTAGTAATTTACTTAACCGCCAACTGTCAACTTGCTCAACTACCAACTAGCAACTGTGAAAGGGTCAATCTTACTGTATTGCTGAGCTGAGCTACATACAATGAGGTACACGTACACGAGAATATTTGACATGGAGAGAAAAAGAAAGGAAGGAAACAAGCTCTCGATCCAGCCACAGAGATCTATATAATCTCTGTGCGTGGCACCTTGCTGGGCTGTCAACTGTTAACTAGCAACGTGCTCAACAACAACCAACTCTCAACTTGCTCAATCATCAACTGACAATCTGCTTAACCGCCAACTATCGACTTTCTCGACCCTCAACCATCTACTTTCTCCACCGCGAACTAACAACTATCAACTAGCTCAACCACTAACTTACCAGTTTGCTCAACTGTCACCCGTCAACTGGCAACTAGTAACTGGTAACTGCCAACTGCCAACTGTTAACTATCAACTGGCTGTTGCTTAATTATTAATCGCCAACTGCTAATCGACTTTCCAGCCTAATTACTAATAGCCCTGTTGAATTGCTGATTCAATCAATAGTTCCAACTTGCCCAATCGTCAACTGTCAACTGTCAACTAATTAAACCCCTAACCCTTGCTCAACTGCCAACTGTCAACTTGATCAACGTTAACCATCAACTATCAACTGGCAACTAGATCAACCCTTAACTTTCGGCTTTCTTAACCACAAACTGTCAATTTGCCCTGCCAGCGACTGGCAATTTGTTTATCTACTAACTGTCAACTTGTCTGCCGGCGACTGGCAACTTGCTCGACTGTCAACTGATAACTCGCAACTAGCAACGTGCTCAACAACTGCCAACTGTCAATTTGCTTAATCGTTAACTAACAACTGCGAACTGCCAACTTGCTTAATCATCCACTGCTAACTGTTAAATGGTTAAACCGTCAACTGTCACCTTGCTTAACCGACAATGAGCAACTTGCTGAGCCGTCAACTGTCAACTGTCAACTGAACCGGCAATTGGATTAACTGTCAACTATCAACTGGATCAACTGTTAACTGGCAACTAGAAATTGGATCAACAGTCAACGGTAAACTGTCCACTGTCAACTGGCAACTGGATCAACTGTTGACTGGCAACTTTCTCGACCATTAACTGTCAACTTGCTCAACTACTAACTGTCAACTGGCTCCCTCGCTCCACGACCAACTGGGCCAACGGGCTCATCATCAACAACCTTCCTAGCTGAACTGTCATCTGGGCAACTGTCAACTTGCTCGATCATCAACTG